GAAACTACCTGCCAGCTGCTTTTTGTGAAGTCCGCCACCGTTCCAGCCCAGCAGTATGGGTGGCGGCTGTTCGAGGGGACACGGGAGGCTGTCGTGTGTGGCATGTCGGGTTTGTCGAAGGCAGTGGGGGCTTGCCGGGGGCCTCTTAAGGGGCGTCTTGGGGCCTCGTGGCAGCGTCTTGGTGGCGCCTCGGGCAGCGCTGGGGGGGCTCCTTGGGCCGTCTGAGGGCGCGCTTGGGCCGTCTGGACTCGTTCGCAGTCCGCCTCGGGAGGCTCCTTGGGTCCTCGTGGGGCCATCTGGGGAACTTTGAAGGCCGTGTGAGGGCTCCCTTGGGCCGGCTTAGAGTCTTCGTGGATTGCTCACGGGGGCCAGTTTGGAGCCTGCTGGGGTCGTCTTGGGGGCCCTTGACGCCCTCGTGGGCCGTCTTGAGGCCGCCTTGGAGAATTTCGTGGGCCGTTCCGAGCTGACAGAAGCCAGAAACGGTGAGAATTCGAAACTCCAGTCAACAAAACCGTCGGAGCCTCAATGATGCTGGCCTCGTCGGGCCTTCGTGGACGGTCTCGTCGAGCCCGCTTGGGTCGCTTTCAGGGCCTGCTGGGCAAGGCCAATTTGGGCCGTATTGGGGCCATCGTGGGCCTTTGGCAACATGTTGATCATCGTGGAGGTTGGGGTGGCTTGACTGGGCAGTACGTATTGGAACCCATCTTGGGCATCATGGACGCCCTGGAAAGCGCGAGGGAAGCGCCGGGTCGCACAGAGAGCCTCGGGGGCGTGGGAGGGGGCGGGGGGCGTGCACGCAACAGTCTGCGTCGAGAAGGGGGGGAGGCTTCCGACAGCTACAGAAACCATGCCAGAAAGCGCGTGGCATTCGACAACACCTCAACATGCCAGGAAGGCACGGTGGTGGATATCGAGTGGCAGTGGGTCAATCCGCCACCGTGGTTGTGCCTTCTTGGGCCAGGGGTCGCTCGGGCTCTTGGGGTCTCGGGGGAGCGCCCTGGAGATGTCTAAGGTAGCTCAAGAGGGCGCCTCAAGAGCACCCAGACGGCCCGAGCAGGCTCGGAGAAGCCTCCAGGACGACCGAAGGGGCACCAAACATATTCCCAGGTGGCCAAAGAGACCAGCACAGTTTCATCAGAGGCCCCACGAGAGACTCAAGAGGCGCCAGGAGCAGCTTGGGGCAAGCAAAATAGTGGAACCTCAATGGTGGTGCTGTGCTTAGCCGCGACATGTGTTTGGCTCCACAGGGCTCCAAGAGGGCTTCAGGGAGGCCCGAGACTACCAAAGAGGGCCCCCAACACCGGGCCAGGCCAGCTCACGACGGTCCCAAGGGGCCTCCAAGACAGCCGCAGGGGGTCTCTGGAGAGTTCCCAGACGGCGCCCAGAAGCGTCGGGAGGTCTCCCGCGCAAAGGCGTGTCTGATACTGCGGCATCACAGAAGTGGCCAGCGGACGCCCCTCGAGCGGCCAGGGCTGGCAGACTGCGCTGGCGAGGACTCCTAAGGAAGGGGCGAGTACGATGAGTGTGTAGGTGGTGCGTTGAGGAGGGGCATATCTGCTCAGCCCGTGCGACGGGGATCTCCCACGCCATTCGTCGGTGGGGCGGCGGACCGTATGGCCGTTGTCATCAGACTGTGTGTTCGCAGCGACTGGGAAGTTGTTGGGCGGTGGTCTTTCCCCAAGCGGTCGGCGGCAACACTCAACGGAACACGTCCACACCCAATTGTCGGCGGCGAGCCCAGGAAAAGTGAGAAGGGGCAGGCTATCTTTGAAGGCTCGGAATTTCCCCTGATTTTGAGACGTTTTCTAAGCCTTCCCCGAAAACAAGCAAACAGTTATCAGAAGGCGCGAGGGCTTTGAGAAGCCCCGCCGCCTTCTGAGAAGGCCTTCTCCTTCTCACTTCCCCCCCTCGCTCGCGGCCGACAAGTGTCACCGTCGAAGCTCGAAGCCAAAAGAAGGCGATACTCACAGAAACCATGAGGCGTTCATTTTATGTGAAGGCGCGTCGCAGCTTGTTGCAACGTTTGAAGGGCTCGTGGCCCCCTCGCCGAAAATTCCAGCCCTCAGTCTCCAGAAGCTTCCGAGGAGGCCACATGAGGCCCCAAGAGATCCCCTGAGGGCCCCAAGAGAGCCCCAAGAGGGCCCCTGAGGGCCCCAACAGGGCCTTCAAGAGGCACACATCGGTACATTTCCTTCGTACAACGTACATGTTCGGCATACTTGCTGGCTTCGTCTTCACAGTGCCCCAGACGCCCCCGAGGAGCCCCAAGACAGCCCAAGAGAAACCCAAGAGGGCACCAGACGGCCCAAAAGGGTCGGCCTGTGGGGCTCACCGAACCCCCCGAGACGGCCCAAGAGGCCCCGAAGCCGGCCCAGGAGGCCCCCAAGACGGCCTCAGGGAGGCCCAAGAGGGCCCCGTTCGAAATCATGTTCCCGGAAGCCTCTCCGGGAACATGGTTTCCGGGCTCGCAGCGCTCCCTACTGAGCCCCAGGACAGCTTCAGCGAAGCCCCAGAGGGCCCGAGATGGCTTGAAGATGGCCGAAGAGGGCCCCAAGAGAGCCTTCAAGAGGCAACAATCGGGCCCATTTCCTTTGTAAAACGTATTTTGTTTCAGCATACTTGCTGGCTTCGTCTTCGCAGTGCCCCAGACGCCCCCAAGACAGCCCAAGAGAGACCCAAGAGGGCCCCAGACGGCCCAAAAGGGTTGGCCTGTGGGGCTCACCGAACCCCCCGAGACGGCCCAAGAGGCCCCGAAGCCGGCCCAGGAGGCCCCCAAGACGGCCTCAGGGAGTCCCAAGAGGGCCCCGTTCGAAATCATGTTCCCGGAAGCCTCTCCAGGAACATGACTTCGGGTTCCGAGGACGCCCTAGAGGGCCCCTGGACAGCCTCAGCGAGGCCCAAGAGGGCCCGAGATGGCTTCAAGGTGGCCGAAGAGGACCCCAAGAGGGCCTTCAAGAGGCAAAAATCAGCCCGTCCCCTTAGTAAAACGTACCGACTCGGCGCGAGACAACTGGCGACCGCAGCTGCCGTCCCTTCGTGCTGGGCGCGTGCGAACCTGGCGTTCAGTTTGGACGGAACGTGTCGGGTCTGTTGCCAATCGGTGCTGCGCCAGGTCAGGCCACCCCCAAGGTCAGGTTCGGGAATGGGTCGTAGCAACACGACGACGACGACGACGACGACGACGACGACGACGGCACGCCCCAACAGGCTCCCCAAGACGCCCCAAACCCATGCTCCCAGAAGGCCTTCTGGGAACCCGATTCATACGGTCTCCGCCCCCCTACACAACCATTTTCCTCGAAGGCCTTTCGGAATGCAGATTGGTATGCGTGGACTGTGGTCCACTACTTCAGTGGAGCAGTGAATTCGTCAAGGCCTGGGGCCTGCTAGAACCTGAGCGCGCGCGAAGCGCGCGCGATGGTTCTAGTACACACACACACACATATATATATATAGATGTGCATACATACACACAGAGCGAGAGAGAGAGAGAGAAAGAGAGCACACATCGATACGTGTGGGTATATAAACAAACCTGCACATGCATGTATATGTGTGTATACAGATCAGGAAAGAGATGGAGAGAGACAGAGAGGGAGGGAGACAGAGAGAGAGGGAGGGAGAGAGGGATGTATCGGTATGCATACGCACATGCATCGTAGGGCGCGTGTAGTTGTACAGAGGTATCCTTCTGTGGAAACCTGTATATGTACATGTTTAACATATATGCACATATACATGGGTAGGGGGCCCCGGGGCCCCCAACGTGCACTGATTTGTATTCCGGCCGTTTCGGGCCCAGCGGGGGGCGCCAACAAAATTCAAGGGGGGCCGAGATACGTACAAGCGGGCGCCAAGATGGCCCAAGAGCGTTCCAAGATAGCCCAAGACCGCACAAGAGCGTTTCAAAATTGGTCCAACATGGCTTGAAGACAACGCAAGAGCGCTTCAAGACGGCCAAGATGCCTTCAAAAGGACTCCGATGTTCGTGTTCTCGCTGGTTCGTGCTTCCGACGGTCCAAGACATCCCACGAGGCCCCAGAAATCAGATCAATACGGCCCAAGAGGCACCCGAAGAGGGCGCCACGACGGCGCAAGAGAGTCCCAAGACGGCCCAAGGGTGCACCAAGACGGCCCAAGAGGCGCCCAAGATCGCCCAAGAGGGCCCCAAGAGGGGCCCAAGAGGGGGAACACGAAACGACAATTCAAGCCTTCCGCCCCAAGTGTCTTCAGGAGGCCCCAAGAGGCCCCCAACAGAGCCCAAGAGGCTTCCTAGAGGCCCCCTAGAGGCCCCACGAGGCCCCATAAGGGCCCAAGAAGACACCCCACGAGCACCCCAAACGGCTCCCGAGAGGCTTCCAAAACTGCCTTCAAGAGGCCCCCAGGAAGCCTCCCACGAATTCCAAACGAGCTTCCAAGAGGCCTCTAACACGTAACCCAGGCACGGTGGCGGGATGGGCCGAAGGCCATTGTCGGGAACGTGAACCGAGAAAACATATCTTCGCCCCAGGAAACCCCTAGGAGGGGTCAAGAGGTCCCCAAGAAACTTGGCGACAGATCACGGGTCGACCGGTCGATGAGAGCGGAGGAGGAGGAATGAGGAGGAGGCAGGAGGAAACACATAATGTTGACGTCAGTATGCATGACCGCCTTGTTGTCTCAATGCGGTCAGCTTTCGACCAGCTGGAACCTGAGCGCGCGCGAAGGCTCTAGTGTTGATATACATACGTACAAATATGTACATAGAGAGAGAGGGAGAGAGAGAGAGAGAGACAGGGAAACACATTACCTTAATATGCGACCAACGATTTAGAGCGCGCACGACACACGGACACACGTGGCAGTTTAAGTATACATGTGCAGGGAGGAGAACAGACAGGGGAGAGACAAAGAGAGATGTGTTTATATATATATATATATGTATATAGACGAAGCACAGACTGTGCGAGAGAGGGGTAGAGACAGGAAGGAGGGAATCGTGGCAACGGCATGATCCGACCTGGCTTCAAGCGCTGGCTCGAGAACAACTGCCTGCCCCGCGAGGCGTGCACCCAGGGAGCGCCGACCGCTCGCAGGGCTGCCCTGCCAGAGACCCGACGACGCCGTTTTCTCGCCGCCCCGCGGGCCCCAGAGTGAAGACGGGCGTGTCCCTCTACAGGAGGAAACTTCAAACATAGCAAAGGAAGTACTCTGGAGACGATTTTCCAATATGTTTGGACTAGTATCAACTTTTCTCGAAAATCCTCCTGTAGGGGGACATGCCCGACATAACCCCAGAGATCTTGGCCCCTTCTTACGGGTGCTGCCAGATGTGGCCTTGGCCCAAGGCTCGAAGAGCAACAGCACACTGCACACAGTGGAGACCCATGCCAAGAAACGCCCTGCTTGCCTCCAGGGTGCCCTGGGTTTCTTGGGCTTCGATGGTTCTGCGATGGGAAGCGTGACGTCCCCACACCATAAGTCACTGGACGTCCTGGGGTCTCAGGGTCGGGCTTCTTGTGGACCTGGCCTCCACTTGCAAGCACACTTTCACAGAAGTCCGCGCGGACTTCTGGGGGCTTCGCCGCGCCCCCTCGGCGCGTATGGGGAGGCGGGCCTCCAGCGCCGATCCACGAAATCCGCGCGGACCTCTGTGAGAATAGTGTGCTTGTGCAGCTTCTTCTTCTTCCAATGGAGGCGCAGGTGGCTTCCAGAGCACCCCCTCGCGAGGCCCAGGAGGGCCCCCAGGCCCCCCCGGGTGGCGCGAAGGTCGGGGGCACCTCTGGCCAGGGCCACCTCTCTGGCAGCACCTGGCTCCCCTGGAAGGCAGTGCCTCGTCCCAGACCCACTTCAGACGGCCCCGGGGGCCTGGAAACGGCCTCCTCTCCGAGATCGAGGAAAGGCTGGAAGTTGCGCCATGGTGGGCGATGAGTGCAGTCACCCCGCATAGCAAGAATGGGCAACTGTCCAAGGCTAGCCTTGCATCCTCCCCCTTCGGCCCATCCTTGGCCGCTTTCGCTGGCCGCGCCCCGCTCACAAAGTGTTCACGTGGCCTTCCAAGGGCTTCGGATCCTTATCGTGCGTCCTCAGTATACGGGTTGACTGTAGGGGGGCGCAGAGAGGTGCACCTCTTGTGCCCAAGAGGGGCCAAAGAGGGGCACGAGGAGTGCCCGGTTCTCCCCCCCCCTTGGCAGTCGAGACCGATGGCACGGATGCGTAACCCGAGGAGGTCTTCAGTTTAGGACCCACACTTGTTTCTCTCGGCGGGGAGTAGGCTCTGCCCCTCCTCCGCCTCCTCCTCTTCCTCCTCCTCCCTATACTCTTCTCCTTCTCCTCCGTACACTTCTCCTTCTCCTCCTTCTCCTCCTCCTCCTCCTCCACCCCCTCTTCCTCCCTCTCCTCTTCCTCCTCCTTGTCCTCATCCTCTTCCTGCTCCTGCCTGCTCTTCTCCTCCTCCTCATCCTCCTTCTCCTCCTCCTAGTAGTCGTAGTCGTCGTTTTTGCGCGACGGGTGCCGCGGAGAAATAGCTAGTTTTCATTATTGGTGGGACCCCAGACCGTCAAGATAAGTAGTTTCCAGCTATTGGGGGGGGGTCGAAAGACCTATTTGGGCTAACCTTCCCAAGGGTACCCTCACATCCTTGCCTCTTCGGTCCATCCTCAACTGCTTTCGATGGCCCGCCGCGCTCGAGAAGCTTCTACAGTGGCTTCCAAGGGTCTTGCATCTTGGTCGCGGATCCTTGCTGTCAGTCCTGACTGCGTCGTCCCCCCACTGAGCAACACCCACAGAATCGCGGCCAGCGCCGACGGAAAGACCGCGACGTCGGAGGTCTGGGCCCGGCTGCACGCAGGGGCGACCTCTTTTCGTTGGAGTGGCCTGTGGTGCGCGGCTTGCGGGTGATGAGGGAGGGGAGGGGGGAGGGAGGAGGCGGAGGAGGAGGCGGAGGAGGAGGACGAGGAGGAGGAGGAGGGAGGAGGGAGGAAGGGGGAGGGAGGAGGGAGGAGGAAGGAAAGAGGAGGAAGGAGGGAGGGGGAAGGAGGAGAATGAGGGAAAGGAGGAGAAGGAGGGAAAGGAAGAGAAGGAGGAGAAGGAGGAGGAGGAGACGGAAGAGGAGGCAGAGGGGGAGACGGAGGAGGTCCTCCTTCTCCTCCTCGTCAGGAGGAAGAGGAGGAAGAGGGGGGGGAGGGGACGGGAGCGATGTGACCCCGCGACGTGCACTCTTGGTGCATCAGGGCTGACCTCCCCCTTCGTTGGCCAGGCTTCCCCTCCTCTGCTTCGGGAAGCACGTGATTAGCTGCGCCACGACGTGGCCTGCAGCGCACGCAGCGATCGGCAGGCCGCGTACCAAAAGGCCACCCGGTGGCCCCCCAGAGGGTCGCTCCTGCGTGCCGCCGGCGGATTTCTGAGATGGCCCCGTCGTTCTCCGTGCTGCCTGCCGCAGGCCGAGAGCGCCCGAGGAGGGTGAGGACTCTGAGCTATGAGACTGTTGTGTGTGCGTTGTGTGTGCTGTGTGCAGTGTGTGTGTGTGTGTGTGTTGTGCGTTGTGTGTTGTGTGTGCTGTGTGCTGCGTGCTGTGTGTTGTGTGTTGTGCGGTGTGTTTGTGCTTGTGTTTGTGCTTGTAGGTGCGGTGTGTTGTGTGCTGTTTGTTGCGTGCTGCGTGCTGTGTGGTGTGTGGTTGTGCTTGTGCTTGTGTTTGTGTTCGTGTGTGTGCGTGTGTCTGAATATGTGTGCGTTGTGTGTTGTGTCTTGTTGTTAGTGTGCTGTGTGGTGTGTGCTGTGTGGTTTGTGTGTGTTGGTGTTTGTGTTTGTGCGTGTGTGTATGTGTGCTTATGTTTGTGTTGATGTGCATTACATGTTGTGTGTCGGGTGTTTGGTATTATGTGTTGTGTGTTGTGCGCTGTGTGTTGTGTGTCGTGTGTGTGTGTGTCGTGTGAGTGTGTCGTTTGTGTGTGTTGTGTGTGCGTGTGTTTGTGTTGTGTGTTGTGTGTTGTGTGTGCATTGTGTTTTTGTTTGTGTTTGTGTGTGATGTGTGTTGTGTGTTGTGTGTTGTGTGGTGGGTGTGCTTGTTAAGCGCTGTTTTTGTGTGTTGTGTGCAATGTGTTATTGTTGTGCGCTTTCGTTTGTGTTTGTGTTTGTGATTGTGTCGGTGTGTGTTGTGTGTTGTGTGTTTTGTCTTGTGTGTTGTGAGGTGTGTGTTGCTTGTGTTGGTTGTGCACTTTGTGCTGTGTGCTGTGTGCTCTGTGTGTGTTTGTGGTTGTGTTTGTGTGTGTGTCGTTGTGTTTGTGCGTGTGTGTGTTCGTGTTTGCGTGTGTGTATTGTGTGTTGTGTGCTGTGTGTGTTCTATGAGCTGTGTCTTGTGTGCTGTGTGTTGTGCGTGTGTTGTGAGCTCCGTGGTGTGTGTTGTGTGCTGTGTGGTGTGTGCTGTTTGTGTCTGTGTGTCTTGTGTGTTCGTGCTTGTGTGTGTGGGGGGTTTTGTGTGTTTGTTTGTGTGTTGTGTGTGTTGTGCGTGTTGTGCGCTGCGTGTTGTGTGTTGGGGGCTGTGTGGCATGTGTTTTTGTGTGTTGTGTGCTGTGTGGCGTTTGCTGTGTGATGCGTGGGGTGTGTACGTGATTGTGATTGTAGTTGTGTCTGTGTTTGTGTGGTTGTGTTTGTGTTTGTGACGGCGTGTGCTGTGTGTTTGTGTGTTGTGTGTTGCGTGTTGTGGTTTGTGTGTGGTGTTTGTCGCTTGCTGTGTGTTGTGTGCTGTGTGCTGTGTGTTGTGTACTGTGTGTTGTGGATGCGTGTGTTTGTGTTTGTGTTTTGGCATTGTTTGTGTGTGTGTGTGGTGTTGTGGTTGCGGTGTGTGGTTGTGGTGTGTGGTGTGTGTTGTGTGTTGTGTTTTGTGTGTGCTGTGTGCTGTGTGTTGTGCACTGGGTGGTGTGTGTGGTTGTGTGTTTGGTTGTGTTTGTGTGTGCGTGTGTGTTTGTGTTTGTGTGTGGTGTGTGTTGTGTGCTGTACGGTGTGTGTTGTGTGTGTGTTGTGGCTGTTGTGTTGTGTGATGTGGGTTGTGTGCTGTGCGTGGTGTGCTGTGTGGTTCGTGTGTGTGTATGCTTGTACGTGGACTTGTGCTTGTGTTTGTGTAAGTGTTTGTGGTTGGTTTCGTGGTTGTGTGGTTTGTGCTTTGTGTGTGGTGTGTGGTGTGTATTGTGTGTGTGGTTGGTGTTGTGGGTTGTGTTTGTCGTGTGCTGTGTGGTGTGTGTGTGGCTGTGTTGTGTTGTGTGTGTTTGTGAATGTATGTGTGTATGTGGTTGTGTGTTGTGTGTTGTGTGGTGTGTGTTGTGTGTGTTGTTTGGTTGTGTGTTGGTGTGTGTGTGTGTGGTTGTGTGGTGTGCGCTTTGTGGTGTGCTGTGTGTTGTGTGTGTTGTATCGTGAATGCTGTGTGCTGTGTGTTGTGTGCGTGGGTTGTTGTGTCATGTGTTGTGTTTGTGTGCGTGTGTGTGTGTGTTTGTGATTGTGATGTGAGTGTGTGGCGGGTGTTGTGTGTTCTGTGTTGTGTGTTGTGTGATCTGTGTTGTGTGCTGTGTGGTGTTTGTGGTTGTGTTTGTGTTCGGGCTTGTGTGAGTGTTTGTACGTGTGGTTGTGTTTGCGTGCGTTGTGTGTGATGTGTTGTGTGTTGGGTGGTGTGTGTTGTGCGTTGTGTGTATTGTGTGTATTGTGTTGTGTGGTGTGCTGTGTGTGTGTTTGTATGTGTGTGGTTGCGGTTGTGTTTGTGTGTGTTGTGTGGTGTGGTTTGTGCGATGTGTGGTTTGGTTGTGTGTCTGTGTTGTGTGCTGTGAGTTGTGTGCTGTGTGATGTGTCCTGCGTGATGCGTGTATGCGTGTGCTGTGCTTGTGTTTGTATTATCGTGTGTGTGTTTGTGTGTGTTGTGATTGTGAGTGTTGTGGGTTGTGTGTTGTGTGTGTTGTGTGTTGAGTACTGTGTGTTGTGTGTTGTGTGGATTGTGTGCTGTGGGTTGTGTTTCGTGTGCTGTGTGGTATGTGTT